AAAAAGAAATATGCTATAGGCTAGACCAGTGCTATTCAAAGTGGTGGGTCCCGGCACCGGTACGCGAACTGTAAGCTACCGGTACGCAGCCAGTGTCCAGGCCTTGCTAAGGAATCATATGTAAAGATTAAGGTTATATAATTTTTATTTTTGTGTTAATAAACTGCTTATTATTTTTATTACTTTTTATATATGCTTGTTATATTATACTAAATTATTTTTTGCAAAAAAAAATGTAAGATAAAAATAGTCAACTTTTATTATATTCATTGTATATATCGTTTCCGGTATAAATTAATATTACTACGAAATATTACAGGTACGTGACACATTGAGATAAAAATTGCCTGTCCGCCATATTTGATATTTTGAGAAACACTGAGCTACGCTACGAGAATGCTAGTTTCACCCAATGCTGCAAGTTGCTACAAAACAAAAAACATACTCTTAAATAACCATAGACTTAGGCAATATCACGTCGAAACACCGGTTTCCACGCGATCACTGAAGTTAAGCAACGTTTGTCAGTACCTATATGGGTAACAGATTGGGAATACTATCTTGGATGTACGGATGGTGTAATAATTAACAGCTCAGAATTGTCAATCAGAGGGTCGAGTTTCAATTCTATTTGGGTTCGTTGTATTCTCTTACGTACAAATACACTTGGGAAAGGTATGAATCGACCTCTTCTCCCCTCCAGCTATGGGTTAATTAGTAAGACTTGTATCACTAAACAATTTATTTTCTCCAACGAAATTCTTACAATATAAAAATACTTTCTGGCTTTAAATAGCCTACAAAGCTGTAGAAAACGAATAAATAAATAACCACGCTAGATCGAAACTTTCATATATGTATGACTCAAACTCCTTCAGAAATAACTGTATATAACCGCTATCTTAGATCAATGGTCAAAAATGGCTTCGAGCGAATGAAATCTGCCAGTCTTAGAGAAGACCATTCTTGTTCGAGTCTTGTGGTCTGGTGCTACAGATTCACAGACAAAGAACTGTACCAAATAAGAGAAACCACATCCCGTGAGGACTACCAACAGCAGCAACAAATAAAACGGATAGCACATGTAACTCGAAGAGAAAATAATAGCATAAACAAGATGTTGACTTTCCATACAAGTTCAAAGAAAGATTCAGGAAGGAAACCCCTATCAGTACTGAAAAGAGCTATAACAGCTACTGGACTTGAGAAACCTGTCTTCCTGAAAAAAATGTCTCAATTTGATACATTTCCAACAAAATAGAAATTTTGTTCGGTCAATGAATGCCGAATGTTTCCTTATAAGGAAACAAATGATATTGCCATTATCGTTAGAGATGAGAAGAACAGATACTACACTTTGATCCTTTCCCGATGTTCAGGGAGTGAAGAAAAGCGTAACTCGAGTAGAACTGGCTGTTCGGTCAATGAATGCCGAATGTTTCCTTATAAGGAAACAAATGATATTGCCATTACCGTTAGAGATTAGAAGAACAGATACTACACTTTGATCTTTGCCCGATGTTCAGGGAGTGAAGAAAAACGAAAGTCGAGTAGAACTGGCTCTTCGGTCAATGAATGTTGAATGTTTCCTTATAAGGAAACAACTAATATTGCCATTACCATGTTGTAGTCATGGCGACTCACAATCTTCCACAGGGGGAGTGCTGTCCCAGACTTGGCTTCTACATCTATTTGTGACTTGTCCTGCTCGATTACATTGTAGCAGTGCCTAGAATACGCCGACGTCGTCTTCTGTAAAGAATATCCCATCACAAAAACAAAAAAAAAAAAAATTACCACTAACTGTTTGTATAATTACAGAATCAGATATAAAACCGGCCAACCTCTCCTTCTTTGACTCTGGAGTACGGACTTATCCTAACCATTATTATTATTATTATTATTTTTTTTTTTTGTTTACTCTAATGTAAACCAGACCTAGGTCTGTTTTTTGACTGTCGTGTAAACCGGACCTCTGTGTATTTTTAATTCATTTCCTGAGATTTATGTCCAATTAGACTTATATCCTGCATTAAATAATACAAGGGTTGAGGTTATTAGAATAACCAGCATAATGTTGTTCCAACTAAAATCAAGATAGAGCTGATCCCAGTTTCGAAAGACCGGAGGTGGGACTGATGCTAAGCTATATTTGGATTTCATTCCTTACTATTTGCGACGGCTAGCAGGTAAGTTCTCGAATCGAGCTTCTTCACATAATTAGGCGCAAATAACTATATTTTAGAGCGGAGGGGGGGTCTGGCTCAGAACTTTTCAGCACCCTCACTAATCGTGATTTGCAATAGGTACGGTACTCCTAAAATCCTAATGGGTTACAGGACTCCTGGCGTGCGTTGTTATATGTTCGAATTCCAGTCAAGTTCGTTGCCTTCATTTCCATAAACACACCCTTTAGAAAGATATAAATCCATCTCTTATTCCTCCCATCTATGGGTTGAATAGCAGGCCAGACTGCCTTCTTTAGCCTAAGTTGGCAACCAGTCTACCACGAAAGGAAATGGCAACCTACTGCGGGAAAAATCTTCAATGATCGTTCAAGCGTCCGTCTTCGGGTATATTTACACGGCCACCAAGGCTGGGGTCGTTAACCGTAGCACTACTCGCATATCAACTAAGCCTAGTCAGTAAACTGCTACATACTGTGCGACTCGAACCCACTCCACGATAATCAGAATCAACCAGACTTGCTTGTTAACTACTGGCCTACGCTGAACCGCCCAGAAGGATGGAAAATTGTTTACTTATCTTTGGAAGTAAGCAGAAAAATTTATGTGTATTTATTTTGCCGTAGTTTGGCACAAGAACAGAGTTTTTTGAGTTTACGTTGTGCTACTTTTGTGACCGAGTTAATAATCTAAAGGAATTTGGCATCCAAAACTTGACCCTTGCACGGAATCGAACGTCGTATATTGACGTCAGAGGCGAACTTGATACTGAAGGAACGAACAAGTTTATACGAATGTTTAATTTATATATCGGTCAACTTTGCTTTCCTCTTTTGGCATCGGAAGAAACGGAAACAAAAGTAAATCGTTCAAAAAGAAAGAAAGAAAGAAAGAAAGAAAGTAAAAGAAAGAAAAAAGAAGGAAAAAAGAAAGAAAGAAAAAGAAAGAAAGAAAGAAGAAAATGAGAAAGAAGGAAAGAATAAGAAAGAAAAAAGAAAATAAGAAAAAGAAAGTAAAAAGAAAGAAAGAAAATGAGAAAGAAAGATAAAAAAGAAAGAAAATAAGAAAGAAAAAAATAAGAAAGAAAAAAGAAAGAAAGAAGAAAATGAGAAAGAAAGAAAGAATAAGAAAGAAAGAAAATAAAAAAGTAAAAAAATGAAAGAAAGAAAGTAAGAAAGAATGAATGAAAGAAAGAAAATGAGAAAGAAAGAAAGAAAGAAAAAAAAAGAAAAAAAAAAAAAAAACAAAGAAAAAGAAAGAAAATGAAAGAAAAGAAAAAGAAAGAAAAAAAAAGTAAAGAAAGAAAAGAAAGAAAAAAAAGAAAAAAGAAAAAAGAAGAAAAAGAAATGAGAAAAAAGAAAAGAACAAAATGAGAATGAGGAAGAAAGAAAGAAAGAAAAAAAGTGGAAGGTGAAAATAATCAAAAGAAGGAAAAAGAAAAGAAAAAAAAAAAAGAAAATGAAAAAGAAAGAAAATGGAATGAGAAAATAGGAAAGAAAAAGGAAAAGAAAGAAAAGGAGAGGAAAAGGAACGAAAAAATATTGAAGGAAGAACAAAAATAACAATGAGCAAAAAGAAAAGAAAAGAATGAAAAAGAAAAAAAAACAAGAAGGGAATAATAACAAAATAGGAATAGATAATGAGATAGATAGATAGATAATAGAAATAGAAGAAAAAAAAGATGGAAGATGAAGATAATAGAAAAGAAGGAAAAATAAAATATGGAAAGATGGGGGAGATAGAAGATAAAAAGAAAAGATAGATAGATCGATATGGAAAAGAGAAAATAGATAAAATAGATAGATAGATAGAGAAAATGGAATTGAGATAGAAATAGAGGAAAATAGAAAAGGATAAAGAAAAAGATATGGAAGGAAAAGGAACGAAAAAATATTGAAGGAAGAACAAAAATAACAATGAGCAAAAAGAAAAGAAAAGAATGAAAAATGGAAAGAAAAACAACAAGAAGGGAATAATAGATAGCAAAATAGATTGGAATAGATAGATAGATAGATAGATAGATAGATGGAATGATTGGGATTGGTAGATAGATAGATAGATAGATAGATAGATAGATAGATAGATAGATATGGAAGGATTGGTCTAGATAGATAGATAGATAGATAGATAGATAGATAGATAGATAGATAGATATGGAATGATTGGGCTAGATAGATAGATAGATAGATAGATAGATAGATAGATAGATAGATAGATAGATAGATAGATAGATAGATAGATAGATAGATATGGATATAGAATGAATGTTGGGCAATTTTTTAATGTGGGATGATAGAGGCCCAGAATAGTTCCGTTAACCTCCCCGAACGAAACCCTAAAGGTTCCTCTCTGCAAGCAGAGAGTTCGACAGACACCCGGCTCGGCAGCTCACAAAGCGCAGATATACTTTGATAGGTATAGATAGATAAATAGATAGATAGATTGGAATGAGATAGATAGATGGAATGATTGGGCTAGATAGATAGATAGATAGAGATATGGAATGATAGATAGATAGATAGATGGAATGATAGATGGGATAGATGAAGATAGATAGATATGGAATGATTGGGCTAGATAGATAGATAGATAGATAGATAGATAGATAATGAAAACAGACATAGAAATTAAAAATAGGTGTAAACAGAGAGAGAGAGAGGGGAGGGGAGAAAGCAAAACAGAGATAGGGGATAAATAGGAGATAAGAGAGATGAAGAGATAGAAATTAAAAACAAGGTGTAAACAGAGAGAGAGAGAGGGGAAGAAAAAGAAGGGGAGAGAGAGAGAATAGGGGATAATGAAAACAAACAGAATTTAACGATAGATAGATAGATAGATAGATAGATAGATAGATAGATAGATAATGAAGACTGACATAGAAATTAAACAGAAAAGAAGAAAAGGAAGTATGACGAAAAAAAATAACAGAAAGAAAAGAAATACAAAATAAATCGAGGAGAGAAAAATGTAAAAAAAAATGGGTGAAAAAGAAAAGAGAAAAATAGAAAAGTTAGAAAGAATAGAAACGAACAAGAAATTAATAAAAGACGAAGATGAAGAAAAAGAGATAAAAAAAGAAAGGAAATTATAGAGGTCAAGTAAAAGAAAAAATAGAGAAAGATAGAAAAGAAGAAAGAATTTAAAAAAAAAGAGGCAGGAGGAAGAATAGACGTAAAAAGGAAAAAGACGACAAAAACTACTGAAAAAGAAAGACAATGCGAAGAGAATGTAAAACTATGAAGAAAGAGAGACTCGAAAGAAGAAAAAATAAAAGAGAGAGAAATATAGAAGAAAAAGGGAGAAAGGCAAATTGAATGCGAAAATGGAAATAAGAAAGAAAAACAGAAAAAAGAAAAAGAAGAAGAAAAAGGATAACAGGAAAAAGAAAAGAAAAAAAGGAAAGAGTGAAAAAGAAGGGAATAATAGCAAAATAATGAAAAAAGAAGGAAAAAAAAAGAAGACGAAAATAGAAAAAGAAAGAGAAAACGAAAAAGAAAAATGGAAATAAAAGAAAGAAAAAAAAATGGCGGGAAGAAAAACAGGAATAAAAAAAAAAAGAAAAGTTAAGAGGAAAGTTAAAAAAGAGAAAAACTAGGAAGAAAAGAATTTAAAAGAAAAGAAGAGGAAAAAGAAAATAAATTTAAAGTAAAATTATAGATAAAAAAGAAAGAGGAAAGATGATAAAGAAAAGGCAAAGTATGAAAAAAAAAAGAAAGCAAATAACGCAGAGAAAGAAAAAGAATATATATATAGAAATAGGAGGGGGAGAGAAAAAAACGAAAAAGAGAATCGAAAAAAAAGAAAGGAAAACGTTATAGAAAGAAAAAAAGTGAAGAAAAAAACGAAGAAAAAAGATTTATAAAAATAAGATGGAGGAGGAAAGGTAAGGAGGAAAAAGGAAAAAAGAAAGAATGAAATATAAGAAGGAGGGAGGGACACAAAAATAGGAAAAGAAAAGAAAAACAATGAAGAGAAAGAAATAAAAAAGAAGAAAATAACAGTAAAGGAGAAAGTCAAACAGGAAATATGGAAAGAAAAAGGAAGAAAAAAACGAAGAGGCTGGAAAATATTCATTCCAGAATTTATTTATTTTTTTAAATAACACCAAAATTAACATATAAAAGAAAATAGGCTGAACAATTATAAACAGAAGCGACGTTACACCCTGTTATTCACTGTATATACAATATGTATATAGAGAGAATTTGGAGCATAAAGAGTTTATGGGGGTGTATCTTTCGTTATTAAGAGCGTGCGCACACACAGATAGATAGATGCAAAGAGACTAGGATAGATAGATAGATAGATAGATAGATAGATAGATAGATAGATAGATAGATAGATAGAAAGAGACTAGGATAGATAGATAGATAGATAGATAGATAGATAGATAGATAGATAGATAGATGGATAGATAGATAGATGCAAAGAGACTAGGATAGATAGATAGATAGATAGATAGATAGATAGATGCAAAGAGACTAGGATAGACTAGATAGATAGATAGATAGATAGATAGATAGATAGATGCAAAGAGACTAGGATAGATAGATAGATAAATAGATAGATAGATAGATGCAAAGAGACTAGGATAGATAGATAGATAGATAGATAGATAGATAGATGCAAAGAGACTAGGATAGATAGATAGATAGATAGATAGATAGATAGATAGATAGATACAAAGAGACTAGGATAGATAGATAGATAGATAGATAGATAGATAGATAGATAGATAGATATGACAAGGGGAAAACATTTTATGCCAACTCTTTTCATTCCTTGAGGAACTTTATCACGGCCAATGTAGAAATTTTATTTAGCAACTTGTATTTACACAAACAGAAAAAAAATGAAAGCTACGAAAATAAAGTATAGTGTTTTGTTTTGTAAAAGATTCCTTTTGTGTTCATATAATCTTTCCGTTTTATCTGAACAAAGTCGAACATACGATAGAATTTACTTATGAAATGGAAACAAACAATACTTTACATTAACAGTAGCTTAAAACTTCGTGCCCATTTTCAAAATAACTATAAACATGAGCTCATAAATTTCTATTCTCATCATGACTACAACATAAAATCCGTAATAATCATCGGATTCTATCTAATGACACTCAGAATTTGTACGCGGGTGCGCTGAAAAATTCATAGACTGTCTGTGACATCTTGCATGCATTAATTTCAACTCTTCTTATTAATGACTGCATTGTTTATATCTAGGTAAACTGACATCTGACTGTTCAAAGATTTCAAAAGTAACTAGTAGTGACTATGAAAATCAAAACGCCCAGGAAAAGTGAAGAAATGTTTCTTGTTTCATCAGGACAATGCTGCAGCACACAAACCCTTGGTTACAGTCACTGCTGTGCTTGACTGTGGCTTTGAACTGGTTGGCCACCCCCACTATTCTCCTGATTTGGCCCCCATCTATCATCTGTTCTCCAACAAGAAAAAACACTTGGCTTGAGGCCAGTATCTTAGTGATGATGACGTCATATCTGTTGTTGATTACCTTTTGACCAACAAGATGAAAGGTTCTTCATTAATGAGATCCAAGCATTGCAACACCGCTGGAAGAACTGTGTGGACCGCAAGGGGAAATTTGTTGAAAAATAAACCTCATTTGGTCACATTTCATGAGAGTATCTTGGTCAGCCTTTGAAATTTTCAGCTAAGCCTCGTAGAACTTAATATTTACACGAGGAGGAGAAATATATTGAAAATACTTTTAAGCTTCCCCAAGGCCCTAATTAAGTCATATTCAATACGAAACTAAAGGCTCATAAAATATGTTAAATAAAAAAGCAATTCTTCCTGACAAACCCAACGAATCAAAATATAGTTGTTATACCTGCATAGCTACAATTAAACTCAACATAAAATTTAACTATGTACTCTACCTGTCATAAATGCCACAAGGAATACTGTTATATAGGAATAAAGTGTCGTTGTCGACGTAGATCAACAGAGAGCAAACAGGCGATTCCATTATTGAATTAAGTAGGCCAGTGACCATAGAGGAAACACATATATGTAGGAAGTAGCTGACGACTAATGAACGCTATTTCTCGTCTATCCGCTATTTCTATTCGGATCGCTATTTCTAGTCTATCCTCTATTTCTATACGGACTACTATTCTCTATTCTCTATTCTCTTCACTATACTAGTTCTCTATACTGATCACTATACAGTGAAACCCGGATATAAGAGAGTTGCCGGGACCGGAGAAGAAGTCTCTTATATCCGGGTTTCTCTTATATCCGCGTTTGGTCTATTTTATATACATTAATACAGGCTCTAATTTGGGACCAGAGAAAATATCTCTTATATCCGGGTTTCTCTGATATCCGGGTCTCTTATATTCGGGTTACACTGTACTATTAATATTCAAGGGGCTCGATGTAACGGCTCAGATTGAAGAATCGGAGATCCGAGTTCGAATTCCAGTCGAATCTATTACATTCACTTACGTGCTGGGAAGGTATGAATCTTCTCCCCCACTATTTACCCATAGCTGACAGACCAGGTTCTCTAGCCATGGATGGCAACTGGTCTATCGCAGGAAGAAATGGCAAGTCATACATGATCGCCTCAACGTGTACCCCGGATGGCACATAACTAAATACGGATCACTATTCAGTGGTTATTATCGAGCAAGAGCGAGTGCTATTCAGTGCGAGTGTTATTCGAAGGCGTCTGGCACCAGCATTGTTCAACGGCGTTACTATAGTTGTATCTGCGATTACAAAGTCTCTTCTACAACGAGCATTACGAAAATGACAACGAGTATTCGTTGGCATCTCAAAAGTAGCAACGAGTGTTCGTTCACATCACAGAAAATACATAGGAGAAACCTCAAGGAATATAAATAAAAGATGATATAAACACAAAAGGGATCTTTTGACAAATGTGACAGAGAGAGAGAGAGAGAGAGAGAGAGAGAGAGAGTCTGGGAAACACACACACACACACACGTATTTTTTTATTGAAATTGGAGTAGATTTGAATAGCGAAATTAAATCAGAGCATTTTGTTTACTGATGGGGAAATCTGATCTAGGGCAGAAGTTGTACCCATTGAATCTGGGTCATCAGTAGACAATGGAAATGGTCGAAATAATTTTTATCGATTAAAAATTGAAATAGAGCTGAGTAAGCTAGAAGGAACTTTGGAATTCACATGATTTTGGTTGAAGCAGCCAGAACTCCGTGATAATCGCGTGTGAAGTAGTAGGGCCGAGGGTCACTTATAACCAGCCGGGTTTATCTATATAAACGCTTAGTTATGCTGAAAAAGACAGACGGGAGAAAATTCTTGAAGAGAGAAGAGAGAATTGGCCAAGGCGAGTGTTGGGAGGAGGTACCTCACTATAACTTTAAGCCCCGCACAGAAATCTTTTATCCCACCATCGCAAGAGTCATATATCGTTCTGAGACGATTTAACAAGATAGTCACACACACACACACACACACACACACACACACAGACACACACACACACACACACACTCTCTCTCTCTCTCTCTCTCTCTCTAATCCAATGTATGATTTTTTTTAAATTTTCTTTTCTGTAACCTGTTTCTCTTCTCTACTATTCTTTTCTGCTATATAAAAGACATTACCAATTCAACCATTGAATCGATGTTTGTCCGGCTTTCTGCAGATATTATTATTATTGCTGCATTCTAAATTTCTTAGCGCAGACTCCCCAGCCGTGTCTACATCTTCAGTCGACCGTGAATGGACGGACATCACTTCTGCTTTCTGGATCAAACAAATCACAACGTGGACAGGAAGCAGGATTAAACCAGCGGACCGGTCGAATAATCTACGTATCCTCAGGGGGCCTATGGCCTTAAGTTCGGTTAGGACCGAGTAGACACCTCAACCCCCAAAGTAAGACACCGGGGGTTGAGGGGCCGGAGCGAAAGTGTTAGACAAAATAATACATTCAATGTGTTAGTTGCTCACCATAATTTGATTTTAAAAATGCTACTCTAATTAAACGAGAAAACAAGACGAAAATGTTTAGAAAGTGTTTTAATCGCTAGATTATCCACAGTAAATCTACGTCCAGGTGCTTACAACGTTTCACCATTCTTGGCAAACGTTCTATTATCATAATGCTGGATATTTAATAAGTAACGTGATGGAAATTAAACATAAAAAAAAAAAAAAAAAAAGAATCTAAATTAAATTGGTCAGATTATATGCCCCAAAACATATATTTATAAAAAAATTCAATTTTAATTTCTCAGCGTCTGTTTTCCTTAGTCTGCATGTGCAGTCGCATCAACGTAAACATCGGTTTAGTCTGATGAAGTCCTAATGCAATGGCTGAAACGCGTCACGCAAAAACTTTTTCCACTTTGTTATATTTTTCCGCTAAAACTGTTTTTGATATATAAAAAATGTTATATATCGTTTTCACACACACACACACACACACACACACATATATATATATATATATATATATACATACATACATACATACATATATATATGAAGAAAAATTTGGAAAAAACAAACAAAAATCCTTAAATGCAATTATGTTGTTTAAAATGAATGAAATGTCGACGTCTGACAATTTTAATTTCTCAGCGTCTCTTTTCCTTAGTCTGCATGTGCAGTCGCATCAACGTCCAAAGCATTAATCTCGCTAAAAAAGGGGAACATAAACGAGATATTCGCCTCGGAAATGTTAACAATGCTTTAGTTGTACACACAACTAAAGCAGATCATAATTTCGATTTCGATTCCGTGAAGGTATTAAAATATTTTCATAATAAAAATCTCAGGAGGATTTATGAAGCAGGTATAATATCCATCTCACGCACGGTGAATACTAGACCTGGTTTCTTTAGTATTTCCTTTTTAGCGAGATTAATGCTCGACCAGCATACATAAAAAATTTTAGATCCTAATAGAATTCTTTTTCATTTTCTTTTTTTCATTCAAAATAATCAAAAATTTTTTAGGAATATATTTTGAAAGCGTCGCCCATGTGACGACAACGTGACCATGCTAAACGGAAAGCTGATCATTTTAAAAATTTTCAGTTATCT